AGATTTTTAACAATTATATTGTACTAATTACTTACCTTAACAAGCCTAGTGAAGCCTGCAGTACTCCGGCGAAGAAAGTCGCCGTGAAAGCGAGGTGAAGGTAGAGCTTGGGATTCTCATCAGCGTTCACTTCAGTTCCCAATGTGGAAGCTATGAGAAGTGATGCAACTGCTACAGTCCCTACCGCCAAATCCCTCGAAGTCCCCATCATAGCATAAATCAACGGTGGAACAAAGCTTGAATCTACGTCCATATTAAGTAAAAACAAATGAAAAATAATTTTAATAAATCACACTTTGCAACCAATTTTTTTAAATGTTAATTAATGTAAACAGTCGTCGGGTTTGAAAACTTACATAGGCCATAAATAGGCGGTAAGTTGGCGAGCTTGGCGTAGCTGATCCCTTGAGGGATGGCTAAACTTGCAATGGTGATGCCGGAGATGAGATCGGACTTAAAGAACTGGAAGCTGTAGCGGGGAGCCCATTCAAGAAACGGAAAGATGTACCGCATACCAAGAATGAACTTCCGCGACGGTGGCTGGTTCTTGAATTGCCTGAGGGGGTCGTCGGGGAAGAATGTCTCCTTCAGAGAGTACTTGAGTGACTTGAAAAATGGCTGCGGCGGTGGAACCGTCACCTGGTGGTAACCGCGGTCCACCTTGGCGGAGGGGTAGGCATAGTCAGCGTTGCCCATGATGAAAATGGATTTGTTTTCTTAAAGTTGCAGTTGTCACTGAAGAGGAGAGGGAGGAGGAAGTTGCGGTGGTGCAGCGTGGGGCGGTGGTGGTTTTATAGGCGGAGGATGCTCTCGCCTCTCAGTTCTTCAGTGGGATAACGGACCCACATGAATTTAATTTGACAAAGAAGAAGGGTTAGATCCGATGGTAAACGTGTTTTGTATGGTTTATCTAAAGAAATTTTAAGTTCAAAAGAAAACTAACTTTTTTTTTTTTTTTTTAAAATACAATAAGTTAATGTAAGGGTCTATTTTTAAAATTGTATAAAAAATTAATTTTAAAATTCACAGAAACTAACCCAAGTTAGGACACCAATAGAGTAAATGCCAAAAAATTAATTTATGGAGAATGCACCATGTGAACATGTCTTTTCTACGTTTGTTTTTTAGTCTTCTCTAAATATGTTTTTTAGAAAAGTGATATCACGTAATATAAATTTTATACATTTTATAATCATTGATACATCAATTTTATAATATTTGAGTAGTTTCTCTTTGTAAATGATTATACCAAAATGTGTAGTTTTTGTAATGTTTATGAAAAAAAGATAGAGATAAAGATATAAATTTTATTATTTTTATTTTAAAAAATAAAATTTGTCAATCTTTAAATGAAATTATAAATTTTTAAAAATATTAACTTCATATTTTTTTAAGAATTAATTGAATGATGATTTAAACAAAACAATAATATCTTTTTTAAAAAAAATTTATTTATTTTGCTAAAATTACACCCTACAATTACTATTTGTTATCTGCTTACTACCTCGTGAAAATTCTATTCAGCTCTTTTTTTTTTTTTTTTTGAAATTCATGCAAATTTCTGTTCTCTTTTTATGTTTAGCTGAACAGGCAAAAGTCCTGGAAGGTCACATTTATTAATATTGGGTAATCTACCAAGAATTGGGTAATAGACCAAAATGATGTCTCTGTCACCACAAAGAAATTAAATGAGAGATACTTCTAAGGTATTTTTTTCCATCACCTAAAGTTGTACCTAATTAAGCTTAGATATATTTAGAAAGATACAATTAATTATTATAACGTGACGATGTCTCTGATCTAATTTGTGACAATTGTGTTAAAAAAGGGACATAAGAAAGGGACTTGAGCCATCTAACTAGTATTTTTTTGTGCTAAGCTTGGGATTTAAATTCAAACTTAGTTTATATAATAATTTTTTAATAAATTTTTTAATATTTAAAAATTATATTAAATTTTAATTAATTTAAAATTAAATCATAATTAATTTAAAGTTAAATCACTCCAACCACTATAAAAAAATTCTCCAAACATTTATTTTTTTATTTATATGATTTAATCTCAAAATTTATTTAAAAAATTAAATTTTTTTATTTAAATTAATAAATTATTAATATTTTTATAATAATTTTTATTTATTAATAAATTTAATTTTGACAAGGTGAACACGGGTCAAAGTTGAAACGCTGCGTCCCTTTTAAAAAGGATGGAAAGTTTTAAAAAATTTAAAAAACCGTCGCTGTTACATTTTACAAACACGTACCGAACGGTACGAAACTCCCAATCAAACCGTAAGGCGACGTGCTCCGCACGTGTCAACATACTGGGGATGTGGAACCAATCGCCACAGATATAATGCATGTATTCTTGGGTTTTCTAGTAAATTTCTTCTGTTAGTCTACATGCCGTAGCGCTATATATATTAAAAATATATATTACCTATAATTATAATATATTATTAAATATGTAATTATATATAATAATATTATAAATGATTTTTTAATAAAAAGAATTATGTATATAATAAATATAGATTATAAAATTATACTATCCTGTGTTGTAATTGTATTGTTTTCAATTCTAAAAGTTTTAATGTATATACAACTCTTATTTGCTTAAGAAGATTGATTATGGTTATAAATATAATTACTATTAAATTTGTTAAGGTTATTAAAATAATCTAATTTTAATTTTAATTTAGTTGTTAAAAATAATTAATAACTAATAAGATAATTAATATTTATTATTTAATAAATTAAAATTAATTTATAAATAAATATTTTCAAATATCATAACTTTTTTTTAAAAAAATTTAAATTGATAAAATTAAAATTAAAATTGGTAGCACTAACCGAATTTTTTATCACAATAACCTCAACCAAGAAGATTCTTTGAGGAACCAAATTAATCATGATGTTTCCAAATGATCTAACTAGCTTAAAGAAAAACAATGGTTATAAGTTGGTAAAATTAACTAAATTAAACATATTTTATTGTTTAGTTTTCAAATGAATAATTTACTATTGATTAAATTAGAAAAATACTACCTTAAGTATGCATGCATATTGATTCAAGAACCTATTAACAAAAAAAAAAAAAATGCTATTAATGCAAAAGATAGGCAGTATTATTATTTATGATCAACTTGTTGGAATAAATCATTATATATTTATTGGCAAATAAGTATTGTTATATATGTTAGATTTCATATTTAAATCTTGATATTGATATTTTAAAAAAATAATTTTTTAAAATATCGAACTAGTTAATAGAGAGTGTATTATTAAAAATCAACGACCTGTTTATTTGAATTAAAGAAACTCGATTATCTTTAAATAAACTCTCAAGTTTAAATTTTGTAAATGAAAAAACAGATACTAAAAGAGCTTTTCCCTTTATGAAATTTGACGTAACTTAATTTCGAATTAATCGAAATCCAATATAATTTTTATATATCAGAA